GCCTAGGTGACTGAAATGGAGAAGGAGAATGACTCGTAGAGTTCTGGGAAGCCAACAATCAGTTTATCATAAATACATGCTTCAAACAACCAAACATATGGCTGTACACAGGGACATCACTAGATCGTGAGTATAGATATCAAACATATCTATACTATACTATATGGAAACAGAAGAAGTTGCATTCTGTTTGCCAAAAGAACAGAAGCAGATTATGCTACTGATCATGAACTGTTAATACCCAACATTAGAGCAAAGCTGAAAAAGAGCCCTAAAAGAATCCTACGTACAAAATATAATTTAAAAAACATTTCTGATGAATTTAAAATCCACATAAGGAACAGAGTTGCATTACTAAATTCAACTGACCATGAACCAGAAGAACTGTAGATTGAATCCAGACATACTATTAGAGAATAAATGCTAAGATACAATTCCTATAGTAAAAAGAAAAAAGAAAAACCTAGATGGATGATAGAAGAAACACCTAAAATTGTAAAGGACAGGTGTAAAGCAAAACTGAAAGGTCACAGAAATAGGGTCAGAATCCTGCATCCAGTTTTTCAGTGACTGTCATGTGGAGACAAAGAGAACTATTGCAATAACCAGAAACAGAGAACAACAAAGGGCAAAAGAGAGAGATCGTTTTCAGAAGATAAAAAAAAATCTAAGGGAAATTTGAGCTTCAATTAAGAATGCTGGATGACCAACAGGGAAGCACACTATCACATCAGAAGAAAATAAAGAGAAGGTGGAAACAGTATGCTGAAGACCTTGTACAGAAGAGAAAAAAGGATGACAAAGAACCTGCCGTTCTAAAAAGTGAAAGCTACTCTGAAACCACTAGGAAGAAACAAATCATCATCTGAAGACCTTGTACAGAGGAGAAAAAAGGATGACAAAGAACCTACCATTCTAAAAAGTGAAAGCTACTTTGAAACCACTAGGAAGAAACAAATCATCATGCATAGATGGAATACTGATAGAACTGTTTCAATCCACAGAGAATGAATCTGTCAAAATCATAACAAGAATATGCCAACAAATACAGAAAACAATATAATGTCCCATGGACTGGAAACACTCGATATTCATTCCAATCCCCAAGAAAGGAGATGCCAATATAATGTCCCACGGACTGGAAACACTTGATATTCATTCCAGTCCCCAAGAAAGGAGATGCCAAGGAATGCCGTAGCTATAAGACCATTGTTTTAATTTCCCATGCAAGCAAAGTGATGCTCAAGGAGTTGCAACAAAAGCTTTTACCTTATATAGAATAAGAAATGCCTGGTGTTCAACCTGAATTCTGAAAAGGAAGAGGCACAGAGATCATATTGAAAATATCCATTGGCTACAGGAGCATACCAAATAATTTCAGAAGAAGATCAGTCTGTTTTTCAAAAGCAACTGCAATTCCTTTGCGTGGATCATGATAAACTATGCATTGTTCTGTAAGAAATGGATGTGCCTTATTTTGATGCATAACCTACGAGAAGCTCTATTAGGACAGAATATGGAAGGAGAATAGTTTCCTATAGGCCAAGTTGTCAGACAAGGGTGCATTTTATCTCCTTCCCTGTTCAATCTGTGTGCAGAACATATTATATAGAAAGCTGGACTTAGATTCATATGAAGAAGTGAAAACTGGTAGAAGAAACATTAAGATATACAGATGATGCCATCTTACTTGAAGAAATCAGCAATGAGTTGAAATGACTTCTGATGAAATTGAAGGAAGAAAGTGCCAAAAAAAAAAAGGACTGCAGCTGAATGTTAGGAAGACAAAAATCATGACTGCAGAAGAACTACACAATTTAATGTTGACAAGGAATTTGTTTACCTTGTATATACTTTGCTTGAACCATCAAATCAAATGGAGACTTCAGCCAAGAAATCAGGAGACTGGGACTCCAAAGGGCATAAATGAAAGAATTAGAAAAGATAACATGTAAGGATGTGTTATCAAGGCCTAGATCATACAGACCATTGTATTTCTGATCACCATGCATGGGTGTGAAAGCTGGACAGTAAAGAAAGCTGACAGGAAAAAAGTTCATTTGAAATCTGGTCCAGGCGGAGAGCTTTGCAAATACGCAAAAAGACAAAGAGGTGGATGCCGGAGCAAATCAACTCTCAACTATCTCTTGAGGTACAAAGGTTAACATTGAGACTGTCCTACTTTGGGCAAATTAAAAAAAAAATGAGACTGTCCTACTTTGGGCACATCATGATAAGACAGGATTCTCTGGAAAAGACAAAAATGCTGATAAAAGTTGAAGGCAGCAGGAAAAGAGGAAGACCAAATAAGAGATGGTTTGACTCCCTAAAGGAAGACAGAGGCTTGCGTTTACAAGAACTGGACAGGTCTATTGAGTACAAGACATTTTGGAGATTGCTCAGTCAGGTCACCATTAATTGGAGGCAATTTGATGGCAAGTAACAACAAAAATGACAATGTTTGGAATAAATGATCTGCCCTGTACTGCCACCAGGAAAAGTTTCTATGTTAATATTGCTAACCTGTTACTAGAGTTCAAGATGGGAAGGGCTACAAATCAAATAAACACAAAATTTTTGTTTTCTCAAACTATTTTTTCTTAATGGATAGTGCTGCACTAAGAATCTGGTTTTATCCAGTTGATATTTTACTGGAGGGTGATTTTGAATTTTGTTAAATAATTTAACAGTGTTATATATATTATTGAATAACCAGATCAAGGCTGAGAAATTGTATGTATGTATGTATGTATGTATGTATGTATGTATGTATGTATGTATGTATGTATGTATGTATGTATGTATGTATGTATGTATGTATGTATGTATGTATGTATGTATAGGTTTATATATATATGAAACAAAGGTTTAATTGATTTTTAAAAAATCAATTAAATTATATTGCTCATACCTTGGAAGAATAACCAGATCAAGGATAGGGTATAACAGGGAAAAAGTCAGTATAAGGAATCAAAGAGAGAAAGTGCAGTATTCAAATCATGAAAACGCCTCATATCATTTAAGCCACAGTTTTAAAGAGTATTCTTTATATTTGGACATTAAGGTAGATGTAGGTGTAAAGAAAAATTACAGAACAAAATAATAAACTAATTTCAAGTATTTCATTATAATTTGTAAGTTTTCTCCCTAGCTTTTAATTATTCTCAGAATCAAGATCCCAGCAGATTGTTTAGGTGTACTTCACTGTTTTTAAAATAGTACAGGCACAAGAGTCAACAAGCACACAGAATGTAGCAGGTAAATGGCAATTATCAAGTCATCTTCAATATATTGAGTATAGGTAGGAACAAACAGCCTGGGCCTCCAATTTATAGTCCTTATTTTGTCATGGAATCTCTTTCAGTAGAATGAAGGACTAGTGATAGCCTTTAATGCTCACAACTCACCTGCTAGCTGCCATTGCTGTTTCAGGATTCTTTTTTTAAAAAATCAAAATCAAATGAAAAGCAAAGAACCCCACCAACTTACCTTTACCTAATTTTCACCGTTGTAACCTAAGTTTCCACGGAAACAGGGTTGAAAAAGCCGCCAGTAGCCAGCAGGCAGCCCGCAGCTGAGAGTGAGAACTCTCCTTTGTCACTTTCCACTAGTGGATGCATGCTGAGTCCTGAAAGTGCCAGTTTGCAAAGCCACCTAGGTTCCTAAACTGTGCGCCCCCCCTTTATAGTTTAAATGGGGAAGACTCTGTTTGTATATGTGTGTGTGTGTCGGGGTGTGTGGAGGTGATTAAATTAAACTACTGTTTTTCTCCCTTGGATTGACACAATACATTCCAGGAGGGTAAATTGGCAAATGAGTTCTGCTTTATTATTTTGTTAGTCAAATATTCTACACAGTCACAAATATCAGTAGCTAAACAAATTCCCTCCCCCAAAAAGTTCTATAGTTATATAGACTTTCTTGAATATTTATGTATGTTTATACAAAAAAGTACATTCTTTCTGCTTTCCAAGACTATTGTCATCCTCTTTTTGCCTTCCAAATGTACGAGACATATTGCAGAACACCGCTCCCATCAAAGAAAATATAACAAGTCAATCACATAAACCACTTTGCATTACTTTTGCAAACAACTTTTAACCAGGAACAGCTCATTGTCAGTGGAGAAACGAACAGTCACCAAATGGGGATATGTATGCACAAAGCAACAAATAGCTCCCTGTCCACTGTTCAGGCATTGCTACAGCTGCAAGTGAAAATAAGTTACTTTCACAAGGAACCAAATAGTGAAAATAGAAGAAGATTATTTTAAAAAAGAAAGAAAGAAATTGACAACATGCGTTTTGAATTTTTAAAAATATAATTTCAGCTTTTGGTTATACATTATTTATTTTGAAACCAAAAGCTATAGTTTAATACCATTTCATGTTGCAAATTTTGGATTTAGAATTAACACCACTTGGATGAGAACAAACGTTGACAGTGTCAGCAGTGGTTTGTTTTCTAGATCGTCTAAGGCAAGATAGTTGGCATGGGAGTTAAGCTTGGGTATTATTTCACCCTTTCTCTCCCCGCTCCAAGCAAAAGGAGAAGGGAGAAACTCCAGCTGACTTGCTTGCCAGATGCAACAGAGAAGCAAGAAAGTAATGCCCTTTCAATTCGTAAATGTGTATTGCAGTTTGATCAACCACACTTTGATTGCCCTATATTCCTGTTTGATTAATATGCAGGTGTAAAGGGCCAAAACCTGTAGGTCATTTTGTATGCTTTAATGATCCACTTATGTGGATCTTTTTAGCAGCCTTTGTCTATATAAACATATACAGTATGTTTCTTGCTTCAAGATCTAGACCATAAAGATGTAGCATAATCAAAAATAATACTTTATCTGTGTCTTTAAAATAATTATCTGCATGTACTTTTAACAAGACAGTTCTTCACATGCTATGCCAAAAAGTGCAAATGCTTTTCTTTTTTAAAAAAAGGCAGAAGATGAAAACATGTACGCCTAATTTTAAAAATCTTTTCTCTCTCTCTAGCATTTTACGATGGGATAATGAGACAGATGTCTCTCAACTGGAAGGACATTTTGACATTGTTATGTGTGCTGACTGGTAAGTACATAAAAATTATAAAACTCATGTTAGGGAAAAAATAGCTTTGCTGGAGTAATTGTGTTGTGCTGCTTGCTGATGGCTAAGCAAAGTCAACAAATGAAGCACAAAGCCACCTTAACCTCAACAAATTAATATTCATCTCCATGTGACAGTTATAAGGTAGTCTTCTATCACACAGTAACTTCTACCACATTATTTCCCAAAGATTGATTTTGAGAAGCATTTCCATTTTCTGGAATTGCCTCTGTTTCATGCTTGACGTATCAGTAAATGGACGACTTAGGCAAATTGCAAATAATTATGGCTCAGTGAGGAACAGTCTGGAGAAAAGGGAGTTTATCAACACAAACAGCTCAATTAGCTTACTTCTTAGGAAAGATCTGACTATTGATATAAGAAGATATATATTCTATGCTCCCCAGTAAATCTTTGGGGGATATTTCCCCCCATTTCTTAAGTACAGCAAACAAAGGTAATAGTATTAATCACATGAGTGACATTGAGATATTAGAATGAATGGTAAATTAATTACAATAAAAAGAAATCAGAGAAAAAACATACACTTTTGATTGACTGACAAGTTACAGAATAATGTTCTGCTGTGTATATTCTAGTAAATAGATTTGGCTGCTGGTATAAATGATGTTTTAATTTTGCTGACTCATCTAATTGTGTAAATTGTGCAGTGATTTCCATGTGGTGTTGTTCCTTAAAATATTGTTTCATATAAAGACACATGCTCAGCTTTGTTTTGCTGTTTATTATCATGTAAGGGTTATGATTCAGCTCTGTGACAATCAATGGGAGTTTGGCTGTTGATTTCAGTAGGATGCAGATAAGATGCAATATAAGAGAAAGTATACATAACCATTCTGTTAGCCTTTATTAAAAAATAGCAGTTCCACTGGATGTTTAATTGAAGAAGGAATGATTACCCAGTGTTAATAAGCTACTGGTTTTATTATTTGAAAATACTTATTTTAATGTAATTTCTAGATTCTGTTTAGTGCCTCCAAAGAAGTATTTCTTTGTCCTTTCTTTTCTTGTTTACGACTTACCAATGAATGAAACAGAGTTTCTATTGCCATCACACTGCTTTTCAGAAAACTTCTTTGTTCCCAAAAAGGACAGACATGGGTTTCTAACTAATCGCTGATAATGTGCCTCAGAGATGCATCATCTGATTAAAATAAGGAGCTAAACAACACCATATGATTTCAGCAAGTAATTTAGTAAATGCCTTCCTCACCAAATATTAGAATGGATACTCTGGGTTTCATTGCACGGATGAAGTTAATGCTGGACAGGATTAGATCAGATTAAGTATGAAAGTCAGATCAGAGTGCTGGCGGACATGAGCAGGAGGGCAGCAGTCTTCTCGGAGGCTTAGACAAGGCTCGCATATGGATGTTCTTCAGATTATGTGGGTGAAGCAAGGTCTTGCCAAGAGATTTAGAGTTAAATTTGTTCTTCACACAAATATCAAAACAACCTGGTCCTGCCATTGCTTATATTCCTAACACTCACACCATGTCATCCTATTTGTATTGTACAGGATAGCAGAAGAAGCAAGATTTAACTCACATATCCACCTCCCCCCCCACCCCAGTATTACTGTTGCCTAATATTCTATCCATTATATGGGCAAATTGCTGGAAATACATATAAGTTCATTCATTCTTGTCTTATTGGAAAACAAAGGATTGTGCTAAATACACATTCACTTACTACACATGAATTAAGCTCACTGGTCAGGCAGTACATGCACTGTATTGGTTCTGCTCATGCTGAATAATATAAGTAGAAAGCAAATCTATAAAGCATTTTCAATTAAAAACCAAATTATGGTAAAGTCCAGCATAATTTTCTACAAATACACAGAGTAGTATTAATATTTTGTTTTCCTGTGCTGAAATGCAGGCTTTTCTGCAGGTTGTCTAATAAGCAGAATTCACATTTTGTTTTCTTTTTTAAAATTACTTGCAAGTTGTTTTATGTGATGTACTATATGTTATGGACTGTTTGGCTACATTACAATATATTTTGCAATTTTTTCCACATGCACTTTCATTCTAAATTGAGAATCATGTTTGGTGATACCTTAGTCTGAATATGTGTAACATTATTTTCAAAGTTCCATACATGCGTTGAGATGAAAACAAAATATTATCTGCATCATTTGATTACCAAATTTCCATATCATTTGCAATCATTAAAATCTGGAACCACAGCAAAACAGAAATGTATGGTCAAATGTTAAGAAAAGTAGCAAACTCTTATTGCACTCTTTCCAATAAAGATGATATTGTATGATTCTCTGAGGAACTAACCACTACTTGACTCCATTTACAGGAAAGCAAAATCCATTCATAAACATATTCCAAACTCATATTGAGATTCAGCTGAAAATATACATAATTACAAAGAGTAATGCAATGTTAAAAATTCAAAAATCATCAATATATTTGCATTCTATTATTCAAGTACCTTGTGTCTATGGGTGGAAAAAAATTGGTGCAGAGCATTACTACATAGTTAAATAAATAGTTCAGTTGCATTTTAAAATAGATAAGAGAAGCTGAAATAGCTGGTCATCAGTTAGCTATTGGTCATTGGACAGTAATTGTTAATATTTTCATGATGGAGCAGTGCATGAACACAGAATTTTAATGCCAGTGTAAATAAATGTTAAAGACTAGATGAAATCACATGGGCAAGTATTGTGTACTCATTGTACAGTAAAATTCAGAATAGGCTGAAAGAATTACTAACATTTAGGAAAATTTCAAATGTTCAGTTTTCAAGAGAGGAAAGACCATAAAGATATACATTTCTCTACCTGTTAGATAAGAAATGGCAACTAAAAGTAAATTACAGTATTAATGTTTACAGTTTTGCATGATTCATTTATCTTCTTGTAGCCTCCGTCATTCCTTGGCAAACCTCAACTTAACGTGTAAATGTAACCTTAACCGTCAACTGATAAATCAACTCAACTGTAGCAGCCCAACCTTTATATCAATGAAGCTAAAATGTTGTTAGATGCCTGAGAGTTGGGAAAATGTTGACTGATTTTCTCTGATAATCAAAGATCCCCATTGTAGCAAGTGATGTTGACACCAGCCCCTGCAACTTTTATGAGCCACAGAGACTTGAAAAATCTCTATCTTGGGGAGTACAGAGATCACAGCAGCCTTTCTGGATCGGAGCTACACCATGCAGTCTCAACAGTGGGAAGCCGTTTTGCCATTCCTGGGGACTACCACAATGCCGTCCAAAGGATCAGGCGCTGGGAGTTACTGTTAACATATTTGTGCAAGATGTGCCTTCTAAACAGCTATCCACAGCAGCACATTATAAATCCTGATTCCATGTAATGCTTAAAGTGCTGGCTTCTGAAAATGGAATTGTAACCATCTTCATGATTGTGATGGGTGTGAGGGTTTTTTTAAAACATAGAGTACCACTGGGCAACAATAGATATAAGCCTTTGATTTGAGGATATTGCAAGCAAAAAATAATAATAATAATATTCTGTTTTTAAAAGATCAAAACCATCTTGGTGGCAAGGATGAATTTGGGCAGGGTGGGAAGGCAATTGGATTTTACTGAAGAAAGTATCTCTGTCTCTTTGATTTTTGTATGGATGGCAGGCATACATTTATTTCAGGCATCAGTCCATCTATTTATAGATAGGTGTAGCTTCAGTCCTTGCACATTTGAATCCCAGTTCTCTTTTTCTTTCAAAGCTTTCACAAATCAGCATCAAATAAATGTATTGTATATTTTCTAAGTATGTGTGACAAATAACAGCATCAGGAATATATGCTTGAGCTTGTTGAGTTTTACAGTAATGACTTATTGTTCATTTAGATCTAGTTTTCCCCACTCATTTTCAGTTTGTCGGGAAATCTGATGGTCTGGAAGGAAGGGCTTCTCCCCATAATAAATGTCTTTCAGTGCATGACAGCTTTGCTGTTTACTGAAGCTGTGCAAAGCTGTAAATGACGATGAAGAGTGCACAACTGGAAATCATGTCTGAAGCGCCAGCCATAAACTGTGATACTTGGCTGTCACATTACATGCAAAATAAAGAGATCTGACATGATAGCTTATAAAATATAAACATGTATTCATGCTCCAGAGATGCTTGTAATAGTTCACAGACAATGGTACAAAATATGTTGGATTCAACAGAGAGTGTCATATTTTCCTCCCATCACTGCCTTTTCTGGAACGCCTGCCTTTACAATTCAAGTGGATACAACATACAGTACATGCATGCCTACAGAAAGTAGTAATTGTTGCTCCCATCAACTGCTAACTCAGAGGAGCTTTTCTCAGTTTTCACTGCATCCCTTCTGTGAAGCATGTCACCAACTTGTGAATGCATGTAGATCAAAGAAAAAAGAACCTTTTTGTCTTTGCAAATTAATACACTGAAGCAAAGTAGTATACTTAACAAAAATAGAGTGTAAGATAGTGCAAGTTAAAAATCCCCCAGTGTGTGGTAACATGGTTGCTGGTTTGAACTATATCATCTCACTAGTAATCTACTTGTACATTGAGTTAGAAGGGATCAGTGTCAAGCATATGTGTAGTTTACACTGTCAAGCATATGTTGTGTCTGTTGGTTGAGAAAGTGTATATTTAAACACTGCTCAGGTTGTTGATGACGAAGGGTGAGGGAACTTCCCTGACAATATAAGTTATTTACTGCCTCAACCTGTTCCCAGTAAGACTTATGTCTACATCTCAAAAGTCTAGTGTTAATAAGTTGCATGAAGAGATGCCCTGGTTGATAGTTACATCATATTGATTAAAGAAAAAATAAAAATAACTTAAATGTGCCATTAAGTTGATTTCAATGTATGGTGGCCCCTTCCAGGATTTTCCAAGTACACAGTTATTCCAAAGTAGTTTACGTATTAAATTGCCATGCTTGATGAAGATCCAATTCTGCCTTACCTAAAGTCCCACAACAGCAGTACTATAGCAAGTGGATAATCTAGGCAGAATTTGATCTGCTGCTAATCTTGATGTGCTTTTTTAGGAAACTAAACTAAATCCAATGCCAAGGAGTAAGATTACAATAAAGCTACAAGAATGAACCCATTTCCTCCAATGCCAATTGTGATGGTCACAAGGAACAGATCAGTAATGGTGCCCCACATTATAAAACTCTTTTAATAAGCAACGTGTGTGACTAAAAAGGCTAAAATCAAGGCAATTGTGACACACCCTATCAGAAGTTTAATCTGTAGGTCTTTTGAGAGGGTTGGCTAAACAGTGTGTTTGGAAGTTACTGAATTTGTTTTTATCTGTTGCAGTTTTCTAATATCATATTTGGTTTCAACTGTGGTTTAATTGGCAATGAAACTAATTACCTTGAGAGGTGATTAGTGCTCCAACACTGGAGGCATTCAAAAGAAATTTAGACAACCACCTGACAGATATCTTCTTACTTATATTCTTGCATTGAGCAGGAGGTTGATCTCAGTGGCCTTATAGGCCCCTTCCAACTTCATGATTCTATGATAATTCTATTTTTATAGTCAGCATTTATTGAGGATCCTTTAAACAGTTAAAATGAACAAGTTAAAAAAATAAATCAGCAAAGCCCACTAAAATGAACTCTGAAGGGGATGGGATCTGTTCTGCTGTCAATGTGTCCTCCAGAAAGAACATGTGAGTTGATCCCCTTGCACACTATATTAATCGTGATTTCTGATATCCCAGCTACTTAAACAAAAGCTGCTAACTGTTGACCATTCATTCTTGTGCAGAGAAACACTTGCACCTGACCTTTCTGGCTTGAGTTTGAGACAAAAGTGATTACAAGCTTCAGTGTCGATTTGGCTTTGTTTGTTTTAAAGTACATGAAATGCAAGGAATGCAGACCTTAATTTCTCCTTCACAGCAATGTGTAAACATATGTAATTAGCCTTGTACTTATCTGCATTAGTATCATTAGAACTGAAACCCCTTTTTAATCTGGATTCTGCTCTCTTCTCAATGTCAGCCTGTTTCTGGACCAGTACAGAGCTAGCCTTGTGGATGCAATAAAGAGATTACTCCAACCCAGTGTAAGTATGTTTCTATTTTCTCCTGAACACGGGCTTCAGAATAATTAGTCTGTGCACAATGATTGAGAGAGTAATGGAATGGCAGGATTAATGTCATGTAATACTTTAATACTTATTATGTCCAACTTCAATTGAGTCTTCTAATCTATCAGATTCCTTCCTAATCATAAACTAGGAAACTTCTTATACTTGGCCTTCTGATAAGGAACACAGTGGGTAGTAAAATAAATGAAACCGCTTCAAAGATAGTGTGAGATTATTTTTATCAAAGCGTTTCTTGAGTATTTTCCTTTGATAACAATGTCTTCATATTAAAGTAAAATTCTGATATTGAAAGTTTTTATGTTGGCTTCTGTCATTTGTAATCCCTTCAATGGTAACCTTTGTCATTGTATATTTATTTATTGCAAAGTACCACTATTTATGTCTTTCATTCCTGCTTATATTAAGTGAATAAAATCCTTAGATTGATCCATAGCCTTAAACGCTGCTTGTTTATGTTCTTTTCTCCCTTCCTCCCTCTTTTTTAACCAAATACACTGTGTATTTACATATTCTAAATAACAGGACACAATAAATGCAGCAGTGTATTAAAATCTTTCTAGATGTGAGTTGGATGGGAACACATAATATGATGTTTTATACTGCTACTCATTATAAACATAACATTCCTGGCATAAAAAAAGGCTTTCAGTCCAAAAAATAAACTTATCTTCATATATCTCTATAGGTATATAATTCAAAATGTTAACCTGGGTGGTAACAATAAAAGACAGCTTAAGAAACAACCCAAGTAAATAAATTGAATAGGAAATATTCCAAAAGCAATCTGCCCATAAAAGAATGTCTGGCTCACCCTTGACCACCAAATACTTGCCACAATAAAAACAACTTAACATTGACAAAAAAACAGGATTTGGAAGAGAAGCCAAATAAGCACCAATTAAACCCCTGCTTTTTGTGAAGAGAGGCGCTGGCAATCTCAACCAGCAGCATGCCTAGTTTCTTGTACTTGACCTTCATCAGCCAAGGATGGGCATGGGTCCAGTTTACCTGAGTAAGCTGCTGGTGGACTGCTTGTTTTCAGGGAAAGGGAAAATATGGGGAAATACTGGAAGGACATGCGCCTGACCAAGCAGAACATTCCCAGGGTGGGCTGGGGGTTCATGCTGTTGTATTTCTTGTTTCGTTTTCCTGTCTGAATGGGAGACTTCTTCTTGTGCCCAGCTCTGTGTATTATGGCAACCACTCTCTGAAACACATAGGGTATATCCATGGATCCACAGAACTGGGCTGCAGTCCTGTGTATACTTATCAGGGAGTAAACGCCATTGACCTCAGTGGCACTTAATGTCTTGACTAGATATGGAGAAGATTGCACTGTTAATCTGTTTTCTTGGCAACATAATATATATCTCATAGCTCCTGAGATTCTTTAGAAGAGGAATCCATTTATATTAAAGATAGGGCTTTCAATGTAGCATTTTATTATATAAACCCAGCTTTATATCTGGATTGCAGAGTTCTATATCTGAACCCATCAGTAGCTTGGGTAATCCCCCAAACAGTAAATTCTTGATATGTGAGTAGTGAGCCCTTCCAGGGCCTTCCTAGTACGTTATCCATCCTTACACTGAATCTTAATGCTACATTTTGTGCCCTGAGAAAGAATGTAGCCCCAGTGCTGCATTCCTTTCTGGCATTTGGGTAACCCTTTGCCAAATACGTCTTACCACTACCTGAGCAAAGTTGATGCCAGAACAAAGAGACAGGGGACCATAGAGTGATTTTTCCTAGCATTTAAATTCTAACTTGAACTTGTTTTGGCTTTCTCTGTACATGATGTTGTTTTCCTACCTATTTAGGGGATGTAGCAAAACAAAAAACAAAAAACCCTCATTAGCTGCACTGCATTGTGAGCTTATCTTTAATTCATATTATACAGTTGCCACAAAGATCTCTTCAAATATTCTGGCCTTCCAGCATTGTCATTTATACATGAATCTTTTTCTTGCCCTGCCGTTCTGATAATTAGTATTCCTATTTTTCCAAAATTATTTTGTGTTTTTTTTCTTCACTTTTTTTCCTTTTTGTCTCTTTGCAGAATTTATTTTAAGGGTACCTTTTCGATATGTAGGTGGATGCTCTAGTCATGCCGTAGACTGCTGGGATGGTCTGCTGGTGGTATTTAGATCATAGCCTCATTTCAGGCTAGGAATCCTTCCATTCATGTTCACACATCCCTTTCCAATTTCATATAATTTTTTCCTAAGAAAGAGGAAGGAAAGGGGAGCCAGCCAGAAACCAGATGCAGATAGCATGGCCAAAGCAAAATTATTGTTACAGAGTAGTAACAATACATTACCAACAATTGGATGAAACTTTCCACATGGATTTTTTCCAACCTTGCAACAGAACCAAGGGGCTTTTGAAAAGGACGGGTGGGGGCATTCATAGTATGACCTAAGATAAGGCGGGGAGATACATTTATGAGACAACTAAAATATTAAAAAGTAAGCTACCTTTCAAGTCTGCACAACTTCTTATCAGGCTGAGCATTAGAGAGCTGAAGGTTCAGCGGGGGGGGGGGGAATGAACATTCCAAAATCCACGGCCAGATGTGGGTGGCATGTTCCTTGTTTCAAGCACATTCCAAAATGAACTCTGCATAATCTGCTTAAAGCTGGTAGCTTTCAGATTTTACCTCTGGTGATGTGCATCAGAATGTCCCAAACGTGTTAGACAAAGAGTTGCCAGTCACGAAATATCTCTCACACACTCCCATACCTTACCTTGAACAACATGATTCCTTTTAGGATGGGGGACAGAGGCATACAGAATCACAACAAATACCATATTGTAGAGGTTGATATAACATTTAGTTTACAATTGAAGTAAGCCAAATTAAAAGTGCTACCTAGTAACTGGAGGAAGGAGGTGTCTTCCATTCACTGTCCTCCAAGAAGGAACACAGCTTAAGAACACAGCCAGAAACTTTCTGTGGTTGGGCATACTGTTATTAAACTGTATTTCTGGATACTTACTAATTTTCTCATTGAGCATTCTAGGATCTTTGGATCACAGTTTGGAAAATCACTACTTCTTCAAAGAGGAGGACGTTTTCATCACTAACATAGCTATATTTCTCCGTTGAAATGTGTTTGTCTGGTTTTCTCTGTTGAAATGTGTTTATCTGGAGTATTCCTCACTTTCCCATAGCAGAATCTCACAGTGAAGAACATGCAAAATAAATTCAATGAAAAGTCATGAATCTGTTTGAGATACTAGAACAAAATTAGTTGTCCCGTGAAAGGCGATCAGCACTGCAAAGTATACTACAGCAGTATATTTGTGTGAAATGGCAGACTGCTCACTGTCGTGAGGTCAGACTCAAGTGTAAAGGAGGAAAAGGAGGCTGAGGCTATTGTGCCAATGGTTGGGGATCTGGGCCACATTTTTGATGTGGAACCTGAAGCCACAGAGGTGGAGCAGAAGCCCATGCTGGTGGAGCCTGCAAGTCTAGACCAAAAACCCTCACAAACTCCATCCCACTGAGCTGGGGGGGGGGTCAAGTGCATCCTTTTCCTATTGCACTGAGTATGCAAGGTGAGAGGCTACAAAGAAAAATGAAGTTTCCAGTTGGCCAAAGGGTTGGCCCTTTAAAGGTCTGTGTCCTTCAAAGACTCAGAGCTTAGAATTATTGAATTAGAGGCAGATGCTCCAAAGGCAAGTTGCTCATTCGGATCTGTCCTTAGTGCTGCAACAGTCAGCCTTGGTGTCTCACCAGGTCAGTTCCACTGCTTTGCCTGTCTCTGTATCTCACCAGCTGGGTCTCCCATGCTGTCTTGCCATTTTGCCTACTTTTGTGTCTCATGGATACCAGTTATGTAGATGTAAGAACGCTGCCTAAGTATGAACTTCCCCATTCTGATTTTTGTAAAATGAATGTCAGAAGACCCTGGGGATAGAAATGAACTCTGGCAAATCAAAACACCAGCAACTCATGTTCAAAATTTTAACAAGGTGTCAGCAAATTTTAAAAACAAAGTCAGGGTTTTATCATAGACCAGTATCAGAAAATAGGAAGTGACCTTGGCAAATAGGTATTGTTGGGCCATGTGATGGCATAACATAAGCTATAATGTAGCTTCCTTGCAAGGAATTCTGAGAACTCCCAACAACAAAATTTGCAATATATTTGGAAAGATGTCGCCATGTCTGGCTTAATTACAGCCTGACTGGATTACTGCAATGCACTCTACCTGGGGCTGCATTCAAAAGTATTTGTTTGTTTGTTTGTTTGTTTGTCTTATATACTGCCTATCTAGAACATGACTACTCTGGGCGGTTTCTACAAAAAACAAAAATACAGATATAATAAATGAAAACATAAATACATTAAAAGATGGGACCCAATTTTACTACAAGAGTAAAAAACAAAAACAAAATCTAAGTGACAGCTGTTGGGAAGGCTTGCCTGTAGTTTGTTCTTGATGGCCCTCAGCGAGGGGGCCAGGTGGATTTCTGTTGGGCCTTCTCGGGTGTTGCCCCCCAACTTTGGAACGCCCTCCCTAGAGAGATCCGCCTGGCTCCGACACTCTTGGCCTTTCGGCGCCAGGCAAAGACCTTTCTGTTCACCCAGCATTTTAATTAATTAATTTTAATGTTTTAAGAAATATTTTAATATATGTTATTTTATACTGTCTCTTAAAATGTTTTTAATGTTTTTAAGTTCTAATGTTGTACGCCGCCCAGAAGCCACTGGCAATGGTGCGGCTAAAAAATATTGTAAATAAATAAAATAAATAAATAAGTTGTTCCAGAGACAAGGGGCCACTGCCGAGACGGCCTGGTTTTTAGTGTAACCAGTGTAAGGCGGCCAGGATGGGGGAAATATGATGGAATCTTTTCACCCCTGTTAAAAGTACACAGAAGCTTCTGCAGAGACAATTGGACATGATGAAGAAGCCTCACATTTCACATAATTGCACTGCTTTTGAATTGTTTCTGGGCCAGTTCAAAGTGCTATTTATTTATTTGAATCATTTGTCCATTTCGCCCCTGCCCTTCAGGGCACCAGAGGCAATTAAAATATTCAAAGCAGGTTAAAATCATCCAGAATAAATTAAAAACATTAAAACAGATTAAAAACAAATTGAAAACATTCCCCAAAAGCCAACTTTAAAAACCAGGCCTGGAGATAAAAAAAACTCTTCAGAATAGTAGTTTTAACTGCCTGTCAGAGGCCCAGTTAAGATGTAGTTAACTTAGTTTCTCTTTGTAAGGAAAGGATTCCACAGTTGAGGGCTGTTGCTGCAGACATCCTGTTTTATGTACACAATCAACCTAAGGTTATAAAAATTAATACCTTAGAATCAGGATATCTGAAGCACTTCATTTTCCATCAGTAGGGTCATTCTCAGAGGCTTTCCCATTTGCATCTCCATGCATAGGAAAATTTGACTTGCCTTCTCTTCTCATTGTCCTTCCTTTGCAGCATCAAGACCCTACTTCTAGGATGGTCTTTTTAGATTTGACTATACTGTAATAACCTTATTATGCTTGTATAATCTGATCTATTCTTCACTGTCTTGAATTATATTAATACTGTTGTTTTTCTTTTAAATTGCTTTTATTTTACTTTTTTGTTGTTAGCCACCCAGAGTAGACTTTGGTCTAGATGGGCGGGGTATAAATTGAACAAACAAACAAACAAACAAACAAACAAACAAACAAACAAATAAATAAATAAATAAATAAATAAATAAATAATCCTTCAGTAGAGTGAATTGCTCCCCTAGCTCTCTATCATATTTGAATTTCTGCTGTTTTTAATTCTCTTTACCTACATGCTTGTTCCTCTTGTTGAGTTGGTGGTACGGGTGGCAGCTGCTAATTTTTATTGTATTTTATTTTACTTTGTGTATAATTTTTATATTATACACAATATTGTGCAAAAATATTTTAAATTAATCAAGTAAAATAACTCAATGAAACTGTCTGGTATCATGTGGATCTCCCTGACCTTTAGACTCATTTTAATACCCGTCAAATATGTAAAATACATTGCCCATGAAAGATAATTGTATAGCTTAAGACTGAAACCACCGTCCAAGTGTTGGTTGCATAGCCAAAATAGGAGAGCATTTAGACAAAAGGGGGCAGGTCTCAGGAACTGTGGGGAAAGTCAATGAGTTGCAGAGACCTTTAGAACAAAATCCAAAGAGAGAGTAAGGAACAGACAGACAGAAACAATCACAGCATAGAGAGTACTAATAGTATTCAGTGAACTCAAAACGATTGTTGGGGAGGGGTTATAGAAAACCAGCATAAAGGAGAGAATGAAACTGGTTGTCCTAAAAAAGAATATGCCAGACTGGCTCAGACCCTGAATATGATACTCTGTCAAGAAGTAGCTTGTTGCAAGAATATAAACCTTTACCACATCTCAGCCTTTTTCCTTTGGATGCATTTTTCAAGGGGGCGCAGAAGATATAATGGGCAAGAAAGCCCACTGATCACATGGCCTTCCGTTTCTACAACTTTGGGATATAGTGGGGTGTATGCTTATCCTCAGGTCTGCACATGATGATGATTAATTTGGCTGAATTTTCTTTGTAACATGCAGCAACCATGCTTATGTTACATTTAGAACATATAAGAATATTTTTTTTAATGTATGGACAAGATAAAAATAAGCTTGATCGTATTTAAGTGCAAATATTCATGACATGTTTTGTAGTCTATGTAGTCAAGCTGAATATTCTGATCTGTTTTTCTCGTGTTGTGAGTACTTTCCCAACAAAATGATAACTGCTTTAAGAAACATCTTGAATTTTTGATCAGTTTTATGCTATAGCTGATTTATTTGGAATTTTAAATAAAATGTGTTAATGTTTTTCCTCAACATTCTAGGGCAAAGCAATGATTTTTGCTCCGCTGAGAGGGAATACTCTAAACCAGTTTTGCAATCTAGCTGAAAAAGCTGGTTTCTCTATCCAAAGACATGAAAATTATGATGAACACATTTCAAACTTCCACTCCAAGGTTAGTTTTCTGCTTGTGTTAGATAACACTTTAATCCGCATTGCATTTTGAAGAGATCATGGTCCTTTTGGCAGGTAACCTAAATGTTTGATTAAAGTACTCTTAGGTATGCTGCTTCTAAATAGCTATTTTTTTGTATCTGATTATTCTGTGTGGAAGAACTATACTTTATCTTTGCATGTCTAGAAGAGCTTTATAGAAACTTCTTCTGTTTATCATTTTCTCAGAACTAATCTGTTCATTCATAAGGGTCTAATTCAAAACATTCAGGGGTGTTTAATTTAGTTCATCTCATACACATCTATCACAAGCAAGTACATGCATTTTAAACGAAAAGCTTGCCAGTATTAACTCCATTAAATAGGAAAATATATGAAAATAAATAGGAGGTGAATGTCTAATTGTATCATACCATGGTTTAAATCCTTATCTAACTGCTCTGTGGCTGGGTCAGTTGGCAGCTTCAAGCTTCTAAATCTCATACAGAATTTTACATTTGTGGGGTTATACATCAGATCTAGGCACTACAAGATTTAGGTCAAAGGCACTTATCTGAGTGATTTCTAAGCTTGCTTACATAAAGCGACTTATCACTTTCGTCTTTTATTACACACAGGTGTAGAGTAATATAGGACAGAGGAAAACCTTTGAAGACAAATTTTGAGAAACACCTTTAGTTTTCTATATGTATCAGCCCTACTGATCAAAGTCAAATTTATTACTTGGAGAAAGGTTTAGTTCACTACACAGCTGACACTGAGAACTGGACTCCACCAAAGCCATCTCCTTCCATTTTCTTTTTCCTTGTTCATTCCTATGAAGGAGCTGGCCTGAGCTTCCCAACGCTTGAATACTGTAGCCCAGTGGTTCTTAACCTTGGGTTACTCAGGTGTTTTTGGACTGCAACTCCCAGAAGCCTTCACCACCAGCTGTCCTGACTGGGGTTTCTGGGAGTTGCAGTTCAAAACACCTGAGTAACCCAAGGTTAGAACCACTGCTGTAGCCCACTGGTTCTTAACCTTGGGTTACTCAGGAGTTTTGGACTGCAACTCCCAGAAGCCTTCACCACCAGCTGTCCTGACTGGGGTTTCTGGGAGTTGCAGTTCAAAAGCAACCGAGTAACAAAGGTTAAGAACCACTGCTGTAGCCCATCAGCAGGAGCTAGGATGTCCATCAAGTTCTAAACAAAAACTAGAGATTGATGCTCTGATGCATAGGTCCATAACCATTTGTACCTAACTCCATGTCATGCTAAGCCTTGAAGAGAGAGAGAGATGTATGAAAAAACCTTCACAGTTCTGCAAGCATGGAATGTCACCACAGTGCGAACAGGATTGGTTTCTTTCATGGCTTTCTCTCTGCCATCTGGTCTCAAATCAGAAGGCATAGCTGTAGCTGAAATGGCATGCTGTGTCTTCATGGTTTTGCATTAATTTGGCTGCCCTTGTAGTTGAGGACAGGTCAGTTTCTGAGACCCCATACACCTGTGACAGAGCTGTTGTGTAACTTCCTTTTGAGCAAGGCTATAGTATGTGCAGTTTTACTTTAAAAGGAAGCTGAAGAGAAGTCTGATTAAAAACATAGAGGGTTATCCAATAAAATAGTTTAGTGACTGGTTCAGAACAAATAAAAGAGAAATAACTTCTGTACTGAATGTAATTCATTTGTGAACTCTACTGCCTCAAAATGAATTGAGGACCACTAGTTTACATGCATCTAAATGGGAATTAAACCAGCTAGGACTATCGGTAGCTATCGCATAGAATACCTCCAGGTTCAGAAGCAGTATGCTGTTGAATACGAGTTGCTGTGCAGCCTTTTTGAAAGCAGAGCAGCAAATTAAACAGTGTTGCCTAGTGGTTGGAGGAAGATATTGTCTTCCATTCACAGTCCTCCTAGAAGGATGTTTACACATCTGGCCATGGGGACTTTATATATAATATATATATACAGTCCCCATTGGACTTTATTTCTATACTTCTCCCAGCTCTGTAATGCCCAGCTGACCAGGACTCACGTAGAGTCAAAGGCTTCTACTACTGATTTTTGTGGTCTTGTAAAAGCATCACCCACCCTTGTTTTCAGATTGGGTACAAAGACCACCCAGCTTTTTCCTTCCTTGCATCATCTTAGACTGTGCTTTAGAACACAGCCAGCAACTTTCTGTGGCTGTACATACCGCTATCAAACTGTATTCCTGGATGCTTGCTAGTTCCAGAACTGAGCATTCCTAGGATCCTTTGGGCCACAGTTTGGAAAACCACTGCTTCTTCAAAGAGGAAAAAGTGTTCATTAGTTTGATCCTTTGGGACCCAAGTCATGTTCAGTGTTACATTCAGTAGTCAGTTGGAATACAGGACTACTACAGGAATGGCTTTCTGGTGTTATCCTTTCCTCCGCTTTAATAGCATCTTAGAAGGTTGGAGTTTGAGCTTTCATGGCTATACAGTACTTCACTATTCTTGCATAAGTTTAGCTTGGGCCTGTTTGTCACATGTATCCTGTTGCTGTACTGAAATGGGATGCTCTACAGCTTCAGGTCTTCAGAAGTTGTCAGACTGCAACTCTCATGATCTTTCGCTATTGTTTAGTGAAAGATGATGAGAACATTTGCAATCCAGAAGTATCTGGATGACTATCCATTCCCCACTACTGGCTGAGATTCTTCTTGAGGTGGAAGAAGTCAGACAAGGCTTCAGGAGTTCTTTTTTCCCCCCTAAGTGATCAGTCCAGGATTGCTGGTATACCTGATCAAGAAAGGAACTTCTGTTTGTCGCTTTAAATGACCAAATTACCTCTGACCGTGTGATAGTTTTCTGACTGTTCTCTCAGCTACCCTTCTGCTTCCTGATTTTGTCATAGAAACCACATGGGCAACTTAGCATGACAAATATGGTGATCTGCAGTGTTTCTTGCAACTGCAATCAGAAGCTAACTAAGCACTGCCCTGTGTTAAAGATTTAAGCAGTTCTTTCCCATTGCTTTAAGACTGTGAGCAATCCCATCTTCCTTTCTTGAAGCATCTTACTGCTCTGTGCTAGGAGAAGCAAAAGTACATAAGTCATGTCCGCAGCACATCCAATGAAATATAGAGTGTGTGACAGGCTACAAGTAATCTTGCCTCACTGTGGTGCCATTTTGCTTCTTCTTACCTGTATTTTATTTGTCTTGGCTGGATGCATAAGATTGTGACAAAGTACTTGGGCTAGTCCCCGGATGAGCCTGACACCTTCTGAGATAATCCTGTTTTTAAAACAACCTGGCACAACTAATTACACAAGGAACAACAATTAGAAGAACAATAACAGAAACTCAATGGCTGAAATCCTGTTGTTTATCATAGTAAATTGCAACTAGAGTAGGCCCATTGAATCAGAGGAACCTATGGAGGAGGTGATGCACCAGATCTCTGATTCAGTGGGCCTACTCTAGTTGCTACAACAGAATTTCAACCACTATGAACTAATCAGAAAAGAAGTTCATATGGGAACTCAAGTCCCCTTTGGTTGTTTTGTGCCATAAAGTTGGAATTTAGAGCAATCTTAAGAGGACTTTCAAGGTAAATGAGCTATTTAAGGAATGGTTTTACCAGTTGCACGCCCCTAGTGAGTTTCCATGGCTGAGCATAGATTCAAACCCAGGCCTCCTGAGTCTTAGACCATCACTCCTCTATCCATGACACCATTCTGAGTATCTCCCTGCTTTGGTACTGAAGGGGAAACTTCTGAGACACCAAGTGAAACACAGCCGACCAGTTACATGTGACAGCCATCTGGAGACCTAGTAGACTCCTAGTGTTGCTGCTCGTTTGAGATAGCAAAAGTGTGTTAGATAGGGCGCTGTCAGGCAGGATAAATTATATAAAGACTAATGGACTGCCTTTGGCTTGGCATCAGTTTGCCATCATGGTCAGCCTGCCCTGGGTTGGAAACTCTGTTGACTTGTCAGAGCTACATAGATATTTTCACACACAGTGCTAATGAAATGAGGGAAATTAGCAGTGAAATGTTGGAATAACAGAGTTACTCTTCAATTGTGTGACTCAGCCACACTGGGAACACCAGAGAAACAATGGTGAGAGAGCAAAACTGCACAAGCAAGAAATGTTCTTATTTTTGCAGCAGCCCACCAGAAAATTCTTTAATACTAGCATTTCTTGCATATTTGGAGCAGTTTTTTTTCACATTTGCCACCAAATTTCTGTAGTTTAGCGAATGGAAATGCAACTCACAAGGGCTTCCAGGATGCAAACTGTCCAATTGACTATCTGAGATGTCATAGAACATCATCAAAGAAATAGTAATGATCACAACTTTAGACTCTATAGGTAGTTTTATACCATGAACTTTAAGGACAGAAATCCTTCTAAACTTCTGTCTTGTAATCTAGACCTGGAAATGTATGTATTTATTTATTATCCGACACTCCCCCCCTCCATGAGACTAAATAAAATGAATAAAACAAATACCACTTAAAAACAGAAAACTGAGTAATTAAAAAAACCCCTCCAAAACATTTAAAGAAATTATGTTTAAAAAGCACATGAAAACTCATATAGTCTAGCAGTCTCAGATTACTTAAAACAGTCATTGTGTGTTCCGGATTATTTCTTTGATTACTCATTCTTTTAGCCTTGCTCACACTTTGAGCTATTCAGGCATCTCCTTAAAATCATACTAGTTTTGCTATTTTTCAGGATTTGATTCTGACCTGAGGGCAATAGGTCCCTTTTGTGCTTGTGATTGCATAAGAACATTAACAGCACAATTCTGTGTGTGTATGTTGGAACTAATTCCAATTCACATGTAGGATTGCACTCTGAATCATTATGCATTGCACTGTCCACTGCCTCACACAGATTGGGTTATATTTTGCATTAATAGCCGCCTTGGGTCCTTTCGGGTAGAAAGGCCAGATAGAATATTTTAAATAAATAAATAAAATAAAGGATAGAAAGGCCAGATAGAAATATTTTAAATAAATAAATAAAATAAAGGAATAGGATTATATTTTGATATGCTGATAACATATAACATATGTTATCATAATAGGACAACTATGTTTTTCAACTATTTTGAAAAACATTAATTAATTAATTAAATCACCTGGTTGTGTTTAAGAAAAAGCAGTATTGATCATGGTACAGTAAGTGAATTCAGCATGCAACTAGTGTAGTGCATCTTTCAGTCATGTGCAATAAGGGGAGGCAGTATATACCCAGATCCTTGGAATGAGAATTGGGGTGTTAAGAACTATATTTAGCATGAAACATTGAAAGATATGCTCTCTTCCCAAATTCAGATCCAAATAGCCCTAAGGATGCCAATGTGTTATTTAATGTTTTCCTAAATGACATCAGCCAATATAGTCTCCTTTAGGAATTTTCTTCCCCCTCTGCCCTCCGTAGCACAAAACAAAACAAAACAAAACAAAACAAAACAACAACAACAACAACAGATCATTTAGTTTTCCAGAGTGACAATTGCCACAGTGTGGTTTTTCGTATAACTGTATTGTTCTTTTTGTTTTGCAGTTGTAAATTCCAGTGTTAAAAGTTTGTGTACTGAGTAAGACCCTGTTTTCTTGTTGTATATGCCTTCCCGTGCCTCATCTTTCCCTAGGATGAGTTTGCTCCCAAATGAAGGAGAGGCGTTTTCCTTTTGGCTTCATGTTATCCTCTTATCCCTACTGTTTTGGAATAGAGCGTAACCAGCTGGAGAACTGTAAGAAGCCTGATAATGCAGCTATTTTCTGCTGTCCCGTCTTAATCTTGTTACACAAATGGTCGTGAAGAGATTCATGAATTTTAATTTTGCCCTCTGCATTAGTGCTTCATGTCACTCATACACAGCTGCCTTCTATGGGGAGTTGTTCACCCCTCCTCTTACAACGGGGGAAAAATTAGTTACAATCTTGGCAGTAGTGCAAGTAACAAAAAAAAAAAAATCCACAGATTTAGGCAACCACCCATGAAGCTGATTAACAGTCAGTGATCAGGAGGAACAGCTTTGCCTCTTAAACTTTTCACCTCTCATTGTTAGCTGTGAAATTTTATTTCCGTTAAAAAGCAAGCCTGTAATCAAAACTGGGCCTTCCTACACTATATGCCAGTGCTTTTGTTTAAAATTGCACCCACATCATGAAATCGGCCTGTTCAGAAGCCAAACAGCAGAAGGTAGGGATATTTATATATATATATATATAGTGGTACTGCTTGTTTCTTTTCTTTTCCATAATATAGTTGTTTTTCAATGGCAATATTAAGGTTGTCCTTGTTACGCTCTTAAAAACAGTAGCAGATAAACATTAACAAACCAGATTTACACCTCTGTGTAAATATACGTCAGAATATATGTTTGCATGACATAAATTGTGTGGGTTTCACTAGAGGCTGAATGCTTTATTCCCCCCCCCCCTTTCCCTTTGAAATAATTATAAAACGTGCATTCATTTTTAAAATAATAATAAAACAAAGCAGAGGTGGCTTTAAAAACAAAAGCAAAACCACGGTTATGAGCTCTGGATGTGATGTCAAAAGAATGGTTGGATTGCCTTTCTCGTTATCTGTTTGAAATGCCACATTATGAGTGTCTGGTGCTTATAATCTGTATGGTGTGCTGTTGATAATTGTGGCTACTGTAAAGGGTAAACAGTATGAATTCCTCTCCTGCTGCTGCTGTTCACCCTGTGGGTCTGAGTGTGTTACATCCAATTAGGAGGTAAAGCATAATGCTACTAAGAGCAGCCATATAATTTATTTCAGTCCTCATAGGCCTCTCTCACTCTCCATCCGCCCCCCTCTCCTCTCTCTTCCTTGCGAAATTGAAAAATTGTTTTATTCACAATTTGCTTTTAGTTGTTCATGGGTTTCAAAAGACAGGTTTATGAGGGTTTTTTTCATTTCATAAAATTACAATCATTAATTGGGCTCAGAAGTGCAACCATGATGTGCGCAATAACACTCTACATAATATTCCCAGACTCGAACATATGCACTGTTTGCAAATGGGTCTATATGCATATACAAGTACAATAATGTTATGTTTCGGATGCACTTATGGCTGGATAACAGGTTGCAGTAATACATGGCTTTGTGGCATTTCTTTATTTGTTTAACATCCCCCTGCTAATCTGGAATGGTGGAGCTAGGTCTGGATTGTGGTTAAACTCTGTAATGGATACTTCATGCTGGCCACCAGAGGTCACTAGAGAATTCAGGTTAAAAGAGACATGGGGGCATATCAGACCCACCAGGTCCCTAAACAAGAGCATTTTTTCCCTTGTGAGTTTACTGTAGAGGTTTTGCAATTTACTATTTCTGCATGTAAGCTAGTGAGGCTGCTGAACTAAACAGCATCTAAAGGGAGAGGATTAAGTGCAGTAGGACTGTCCATTGGAAGTTTATTTCTCCAGGAGATAATTTCCTTCCATAATATTTATATGTATTTGTTGCTTATTGGTTTCCATCCCAGCAAACCAACTTCAAAATACAACTTTGACTGGAAGTGGTTTTAAATCCAGTCCGTCCCCCCACAAACAGGGAAGTTTTCAAAATTCATTTTTTTCAAAAACCTCAGAGTGGCCTCATCTGAAGAAACAGAAAGGTTGTTTGGTTCTTCAAGAATAAGTAGTTTATTCTGGGCAAAGGTCCGATAAAAGTTCAGGCTACAATGAATCAGTTAATATCTGAGATAGTGGAGCACTCTCCGTCATTCTAAAACAGAATGGTTTGGCTGCTGAACAGTTAGTCAGAGATCTACTTCAACACCCAAAATTCTGCCGGATTACCATAAAACCAATTGACTCCTCTTATGCAAACAGAAAGAAGAATCTGTGTTAAAGTTCACAAAATCAGGAAGACAATTTTCATATTATCGTAATACGGATAAAATTTTAAAGGAAAGGCTAATGTCTGTGACAGTAGCATTCTTTTTCTATGGGATAAAGTCTTATTTAGTTTCTTTAGATTAAAATATGGGAATTGCTCATTAATCATCATTATGCCTCAAACAGGCTGGAATCTGTAGCTCTCACCATAAATGGAGAACTTTATTCACATGGAAAACCAACAATGCCCCATGGCTTTCTGAGTTTTATCAGCTGGTCTGTCTGTCTGTCCATCTAATTTTAGAGAGGTAGTTTATTAAGACTGCTACATTTTGCAGGATTCTTCAGATTGATCCAGTTTGCTGTATGTATTAAATTTGTGCCTATAGAAAATATATCCCAAATTTACTTTTTTGATAAATAAGCTATTTTAACCCCTGTGTAAGGAAATATTTCTTTTAAAATGAATCCATTTTCTATCACATTGGACTGCTGAGGTTCACATAACCTTAATTCGTATTGCCAAGAATAAGTTGAATAAGAGAGGAAATTTTGATTTGCATGTTATTAATATAAAACTGCATTCTAATATTTGAAGCAATTTAGGCTTATTTGAAATGCCCTTCTGTATGAAGGTATTAAAGAAGTCCTGAGGTCACTAGTTAGTTGAAATACTGTATCTGTTAGGAACCCAAAGTTACATATTCTAATGTGTAGTTTTAGCCTTCATGTATTTCTAATTGCAGTTAGATTAACTGGAATGTGCTTAAATCAACTGAGTGAATCAATTATTTGTGTTTTTCAAGTATGTTGTTTTCTTATGAGCACTTTTTGCTATGCAGTTGTAAAAATAAACTTGTAAATTGTGCTAGAAGCTATTAACTATGTCATAATTCTGGGTGTAATCTTTAATATAAATATACATTGGCTTGAAGAATCAGGCTCAGAGAAAAAGATTTCTGTCCATGTCATTAAAATTAATCTTGTTCTCTGTTTTTTTTTAATTACAGTTGAAAAAGAAAGAAAAGGGTATCTATGATGAAAATCTCCACTATCCATTTCTTCTTATTTTAAAGAAGTAGCATATGTGGTAGATATATTTGGATTACAGGGGAGGGGAATAGCTACATGAATGTGCCATTTTAAGAATAATCAAAGTGATCAAGAGTTACCATCAATTATTTCAAGAGGAAAAACTGTGAGCTGTGTTCTGTAAATCATTCGTAGAACTTCTGCATTGTTTTGTTAAAGCAAGTCTGTAAGACCTGAAGCCTTAAGAGTTACATTTTCCTCCCCTTGCAACTGTCATCATGCACATGATTTCTTCAACTTGAGAAAAACGGCTACATTTGAAAGGGTATGTTCTGTGGCTGTAAAATGCTAAAGAATGCATTGTTCTAGGAGGTAAGAAAGCGATACTGATAATTGTTCGGCACTCATTTTCTATATGTGCTTCATGCTATATTTTGATTTACTCTCCTTCATCCTTCATGCTATTCTTGAAAATTGCCTTATGAGTTTTTCTCCCTTTTCAGAGTAAAATGCTTCAAACTTGCTTTGCTTGATTACTTAATGTTTTTTGACAACAGGATTTTTTTTTTGGTCCTTTCCTTGTAGATGTATAAGAAATTACTGCCTCAAACCAAAGCCTCATAAACTGACCATTTGTCCTCTGGACACAATGGGTTGGCCAGCCCTCTGCTCCTCCTCTCCAATTATGTGTGATTAGTCTCAGTGTGTTGTGTCAAGAAGGGGGAGTGTGCTGAGTACTTATTATCTGTTTAGGTACAAGAAGAGTGCTCTGGCTATGAATGAAAAGTGAGCCTTTATCAGTAGTGAAATCTAACTGCAACTGTTCCCCAGACCTTCTGTTAAAAATAGATCCTTGTCTGAGAAACTCAGAATGCTCTAGCAATTGTCTTTTTTTTTTTTTACTCCCTACTCTCCAGAAGGAACCCAAACATCTGTTTTAAAGTGAGCATAATTCACAGATTTTGTTTTGCCCCCTCTTCTGGAAAAAGCAACAATTCCTACTTTCAAAGCAGAAGCCAGAACTGATTGGGATTGGTTTTCTCACTGGTTTAAAGAGAATTTTTGGCACTTTCAGAAAGCTCCCAGCCTGAATTTGCAAAGTGCTCATAAATATCCCCTTCTTCACTCCTCCACCTCAGTTTTAAAAAGCAGTCCTGGCAATATCAAACGTGAATGCAATTCGTTGTGCAATTTATGGGGGAAGTACATTAAAATAATTACCGTTGGTTTATTGCTTTTCCTCTCCGGATTTAACAAACGGAATTGTGCACAAAAGTCCTGTTCCCTTTCCTGCTCTCCTCAAATGCATTTCTTCTCCACCAGTTTGCATGTCCTTGTATTCAATACTTTTTATGCTCCATTAGAGCACCTATATGGATCTCAGAAGGCACAGGTCAAGTCGCAGTTAGATCATACATTTCTTTCTCACAAAAACCTGAATTGCGATGCCAAGTGATGGGCTAACATCACAATAACAGCAATTTATTCCTCTTTTGATAAAACAGCAGTCTATTCTCAGTGTTGGATAAAGACCAGGGGCAATGCAAACCAGCCATTTATCCTAGTATTTCAGTGGTAGATCTCGTTTTATGGATTTTATGGATTTCACATTGAGACTCTTACTGGGTGGAATTTCTGCTAAGAAATGATAAGAATTTAGAGATGACTGGGTTTGTCATAGAGGAAGCTCTCCCTCAGTCATGAACTGTCCTGCAGATATATATGCCAAGAAGGTATGTGTTCAGGAGAAATCTCACGAGGGAGGACATGCAAAAATCAACCAAAATATAAGCTTGCTGTGTCTCTGCAAAAGTGCTTAAGAATAGACATGTACATAAAGTTACCAGCTTTTATCTAAGGACCCTGGAAAATTATTATTCTAATTCTTTTTTTCTCTGCCTCTGAGGAGATAACAAGTATATCAAAATGAACAACTAATTATTGTTGTTTGTTTCTTTTCCGAGCCTGTCATGTCAGTACAAGCCTGTGTCTCAAATGCAGGCTATTATCCCGTAAGGATTTAATTGAAGGGGTCTTAAGAACACGATCCTGCAAACATTTACGCATTGAGGCTGAATGGTGCAGCTAAATTACTCATGCATATAATCGATGAAAGGACTGGGGGCCATAGACTGTAGTATTTGCTGTTTAGGATCATTGTATAACAGGAACATTTGCCTTTGGTTCTTTCTAGTCTGTACTGTAAGAAGAATTATAGGGGTCGTCTTTTTGTAACTTGTGCTTTATTAGGGAAATGCCTCTTCTGATTTATTTTTGTATATTAGATTAGCTAAGCACATAATTGGTCATTGACAAATAATATGGTTTGTGTTTCTACTTGAAAATATGTTAATAAAGTTTTTTAATGTCAAAAACTTGTGAAGTCTATATGTGAAAGTATGTCCCCAAATCACAACATGGTCTTTATTGAAAGTAAATGTAATCATAACCCTGAATACATCAAATCTTATTTTTTAACTACAATCTATACAATTAGTCTCATGCATGTGTGTTTCAGGGTGATGTGTATTGTTTGTAAGTTTAAAATGAGTGAGTATATTAAAAAATATTCTGAAGATGTGAGCCAGTGGCTGAAATCCTGTTGTTTAGCAGTTACCGGTAGTTACAATGAGATTAGGACCATTGAATCAGTGGAACGTGTAGAGGAGCTGACTCGCCAATCCCCACTAATTCAATATGCTTACTCTAGTTGTGACTTACTATGCTAAGCAACAGGATTTAGCTGCTATTTAAAGGCTGACAACCAGCAGCAACAATGCTCTGGTCCATAGTTTTCTCATGGCTTGCAGGCAGCTGAGGAAGTGTTTCATTCATATTGAAATGGCAGAAACCTCTTCTTGCCATAAAATGTGGCAGAAAGGATTCTGACCTCACTAGCTAAACAGACATGCGGAAGACACAGGAAAAAAACATAAGTATTTACACGCATATGATCACTAAAATGCACTTTATGACAGTTTCCAAGAGGTTATTATTTTAACAATCATCCCTACTCCCTACACCTCATTTAAGATTGTGGGTAGAGTGCAGATTACTCTAAATAACAGCAGACTTTAAAATGAGGCAGAGGAGGTGATGTCGGGAGATGTCACCCCTATTACTAACAAGTAATATGAAGGGTGTGTGCATTTTGTTGGTGATAATTAGGCATACACAGAGATACAATAAAGACTAAAAAGCTTTTCTTTCATTTTTGAAACATTTTAGCTTCTGTTCTACATGTCCAGTGTCCTCTCAAATGTTTTTGCCCCCTTCTGAAGTCATATAAATGAAAAAAGGCACTCTGCAACACGGACAATAAGTCAGGTTTTCAGATGAAGAGTCCTTATATTCTAGGCTGATGCTTGTACAGAGATAGATGGAGGGCAAGGTCTAGTTCCAGTGAAATCAATTGAGATAAAGGCAGGAGGGAAGGAAGCAGACAAAAGGCAAAAGCTAGATGGGGTGGGGTGGGGCAAAGGGGAGAGAGAGTTGGGCCAGACAGGATCAAAAGCCATGAAGATGACAGGAGGTCTCTTGTTATTCAAGACGAAAAGGCTAGATAAATTTGAAGAAAGTTTTTATAAGACCTGTCATGTGGCTACCCCAAGAAATCAAATGCTATAGGAACAATGTGAACAGCCTTTTCTATGCTGCAGTTCTATCCTTAGCATGAGAATGGTGTAAAAGCACAGGTATGGCCAAGGACGTCCAGAGACTCTAGATCATATACCCTTGTGTACTTCAAAACATTTCAATACAGCCAAATGAATACATGAAGAATATAAGGAGAAATATGGAATATTTCCAGCTGGGTTTCATGCAAAAGAAATCACCCACTAAGATTCCTGCTGCCTCTTGTAATTTCAAGAGATATTATAAACAAATAGATAAATAAATAAATAAAATGTCACCAACAACAGCAACGGGGAATTTGTCTGGGACATACCAAAGTGCCATCTTGTTGTGTCTCAATGGTAGCCCTGAGACTACTTTTTGGGATCACAGACTAAGTCTTTAAGGTTGCTGTCCTCTGAAGATGCCGGCCACAGAGACTGGCGAAACGTCAGGAAGAACAACCTTCAGAACACGGCCAAAGAGCCCGAAAAACCCAGAACAACCATTAGATCCCAGCGGTGAAAGCCTTCGCAAATATATTAAGTCTTTAAGCTTTGGACGTGAAATCAAAGAGAATGGGATACTGCTGATCTGGAAACTCCGTTCTACTGGCCTATGACAGCACAAAAGGGCATTCGCTGTGACATCCCAAGGGCATGGGGCTGGGTCTTAGTTTTGGGCCCTGATGTCATAGGTTTGTTGACCTGGCAGACTTGGCCAGGTAGAATTCTTGGCAATTTAGAGCTGTTCAAAAGATTGGGCTATGTCAAAGGATGGTGGACTTCCCTTCATTAAAGGTTTTTTGAACATAGTAGATGGATTTTCTTTTGTGGAAGGGGTTGGATTCTTGAGGTCCCTTTCAGCTTTACAATTATTTGATTCTACAGCAACCTGAGTGGCCCCCACAGATGTTCTTGGAAAACAAAAATGCCAGACAGCTGCTGCCCGGGGGGGGGGAATCCATGGAAAACTAAAAGGGTGGTGGTGGAGGTGGGGTAGAGTATAGGAACTATTCTTAGCAGTGGCTAAGGTGGTACTGAGGAGCATTGTAGGGAGGAAGAGGAACCCAGGCAGTGTTTTGCTTGGGGTCTGTGTACATATTTTGCTTGTTCAGAGCATATTGACTTGTTTACTCACTCATCAGAGAAGTATTGAATTAGAAGGGAAATTGAGGGTTCATCTAATCCTATCCCCTGCTCTATGCAGGATCAGCAATGGAAGATACAATTATAGCAAACTTAACAAATATCCATTTGGCTTCTACTTGAATGGTTCTAGCAAACAAACCATTTCCTTCTGAAGCAACCTGTTCCTTATGAGCCCTTATCATTAGGAAATGTCTCCTAATACATTTATCTGAAACCTGCTTCCCAGCACCCATTGGTTCTAGTCTTGCCTTCTGGAGCAACAGAGATGTACTCCGCTCCACCTTCTGCAGGTCAATCCATCCAATATTTGAAGGCTGTTATTATGTCTTCCTTTCATTCTCTTCTCCAGGCTAAACATATCTGGAGATACCTTTCTCATGTTCCTTTCTTCCGGTGTAAACTTCCCCCGGCTTATCAGATGAGCATGGGTGCCAGTCGGCCCACAGATGAATCACTTACTCAAATATAGGTCCTATGTGATAAGTTATCCTTAGCCGCCTTTTTAATGATTTCTGGCTTATGACTTTCCTACTGAAGTCATAAACTGGCTTGCAGCCAAAGAGAATGCCTGGCCGTTTCTTATGTGTATCCATGAAAGTCTTTGGATAGGATAGCTACTTCATGACTATCCAGTATGCAAAGAGATATAGGAAAGAGTTTCAGAGTGGGAGACCAGATGGCAATCCACAGCCAGAGAAGATACAATTTTGACCCGTATCTCTGATTTAAACTCAACAGATGCCAAGCTTAAAAAACCCAATTATGGCACCAACTTGTGAAATTCTGAGTTATCTCCCCCAAGAACATTAATCTATGGGGTCAAAAATAGCTGCCAACATCCAAATTCAAAACCATGCTGTTCTGTTTTTCATGGAAATAAATTTGATAACATTATTGGGCAGGGATTATTTTCAAGGGGTTTTAACCTAGAAAGCCTGTAGCCAGAAGCTGAGCAAAGAATTCCCCTTCTGCCATGTGAATGTGCACAGTAAATGGCTCTTAGCCTTCTCTCCCACCCTCCACCCCTCCCCACCTTCAATTAATTTAGTTTTTAAATGATTAAACATATCATGCTGTGACATCCAAAATGTCAACAAGCCCATAAACCTGGAAGACAGAAATGTAATAAAATAGGTAATAGGAGATTCGGGAGTTAATAGAGGCCCTGATGGGTGAGTGTATACAGTAGCTATATACTGGAAACAGTGCAAGTGAAGATGGCTTAGCATTGCAAACTGAGGAAGAAAATTGTTTTTAATTAGCACCTTCATAAGAACTGCTGATTAATACTGTTTGGTTTGGTGAAAAGCTTTCAGCTGAGTAATTTGTACAGCCATTACAACAGTTTTGTTAGACCAGGGACTCCTGTTGTTAAACACAAACAGCAGATGATAATGGTGGAAGATGAGTTTGTCATGGAACAATTCACCTTATTGGAGGGGGGGGGAACCCTTTATATAAAACTCAATACAGTAGTTGGTATCAGCAGAAATCCATGTTTTAAATCTTGCCCAAATTGCAGTGTGCCATGTAAGTGTGAGTACTTTCCCCCCATTTCTCTCCTTACACTCTAGAAAGAGATTTTATATCATTTATAAAATTATAGATACATTTTGAAGGTATTCAGTAAGGACTGGGCACTTGAATAGCAAAGCTATATATCGGGACATTCAAATGTTGGTACCATGTATTCAAATTTTTTTAAAAAAACTAGACTGAAGTAGATTTAAGCAACTGGCATGTCATTAATATTTGTTCCTTGGAGTGGGATGGGGGGGGGAACCCTAGCAGTTCCTTAGTCTGTAAAATTATGTTCTGCATTTCTATAAAGTGCACCATTTAGACCCAAGATATTTCTCTTGGATGTGCATTATTCCGAATGGTATTATTATTGACTGCCTCGGCGTAAGGGTTTTTCCATCCATTTGACAATTAAGATTCCAAGTCCTCACTCCCATTTCATCTAATAGGGTAACATGCATATTTCATTTCCACCCAATTGGATGTTTAGTGCAGTGTACAGAAAACAGGAGAACTTCCCCCCCTCCTTTTTAAAAAAGAAGAAATATGATAACAATGAAGGAATATGTGCATTAAATTATTACACTAACCAAAGAATTGCCTGATTGGGGTGCCATAATAGAACATGAGAGGGTTTCTCTCCCCCCCCCCGCCTCTTTAGACAGGCCTTCGGGGTAATAACAAGGGTTGAGGCTCACGACAGTGCCAAATAAGCGTTAGACAGCATAATAGTCTGCAAAGAAAAGCCACTGAGCACTAATGTGAAAGAAGAGCTGTCCACCACATGCAGCAAAAATCACCAAAGGTCATTTTATGGTAGCAATTGTGACACAAAATTGGTGGTCATGCTACATGTCTAATACTCAGTGCAGCTTTATAAATGATGGGCCCGTAGCGATGGCTGTCATTAAGTGCTTTCATCATAATAAAGTTTAAACTGTTGGCTTTATGAATCACCAGCCAGCTTCAGCTGTTCGGTGGATGGCGCTTGCAGCGCCTTAAGTGTGACAAGACCTATTAGGAAC